AGAAAAAAAAAAAGATAAACACACGTAAATGTAAACAGAATGTGCGAGGTTTTACTTTCACAGCATACACGTAATGTGCATGGCATGCGACACCAGTCGCGATTACCCTTCTACTTCACTGCTCAGGTAATCATTTCAACCATTATCCTCAGTATTTATACCCTTCGTTCCCAGTCCTTCTCCACCACTTTCCCTATACTTGCAGTGTACTCAGCATCTATTCTCAGGATATCCCGCAGTCGCTCTCTGTGTTGTCCTTGTCGTCGTCGATTTCCAACATGCGTTCAATCTGAAGCTACTTTCATCATATGTTATGATTCTGTTCGTTGATTGATTTCGCCACCCTTGTTTTCAGATATGTTCATTCTGTGTTCGCGTTGTCTGATGTGATTTCAAGTCTTAGAGATTGGTGGTAGCATGTTTGAAAAAAATTCAGACATTCCAACTCTTTCGTTTGATCTTCCTTACGTGCTATTATGATCATCATTACATTGTCCACAAAACTCATACCGTGGATAAGTTTGTCATCAATTTCAGTCTGCGCACACCATCTGTACTCGTCGAACGCACATACCATGTTGGCAATGGGTGGGCTAGAGTCCTTCCCCATTGGTATCCACATTACTTGGCGTAATAATATTCCTTGTACTTTGAAGTTTGAAGTATGCGTGTTTGATGTCATAGTACAACAGATCCATTAGGCACTCAATTTTTAATGTTCTCCATTTGTAGGTTCCGTTTGCTTTTTCAAAGTTCATGTACTTTCCTCTCATCTTGTAACATAAGTGGGTTTTCTGTTTTTCTTTCGCCATTTTCATCATCCATTGCATGACGTTTAAGATATGTGTGTGATCGAGATTCGAAAACATATCTTTGACGTCGTATGTGGAGCAGATTATCGTAGTCATATCCCCGTATGTTTCTTTTGCTACTTGATTGCATTTCTTTAGTCTAGGTAGTAGTTGGTTCGTTCCTTTTAGTGAGAAACAAACTTTCAATGCTTCACACATGAAGTTGATAGCTCTTGATAGTACCTTCGATGCTTTCCGAGATGACTCCTTATATGTTGACACAATTGGTCGGCGTCTGGTGACGTCGTTGTTTTTTGGAATTGTATACGCATTTCCGTATGATCCATGTTCACCCCATTCTGCACTTTTCTTCAACTCTCATCCATGATACGTATTTTTGGGCAATTGAGTGATCTCAGCTTCCGTTTGTTGTATAATTTCGTAGTGATTCGATTGCAGAAAGAATTTTGGGGTCTTCTCGTACCAGATTTTACGGCATTCCACAAAAGTTTCTCCAAGATTTCTGTCCAATGGTGATAGGATACATTGTCAATCTTCTTTTTACTTCCCATATTTCTGATATGTAAAGAAAAATTTCCATATCATTCTTCTTTTCGATGCAAGTAGAGACATCTATTTTAATTTCTCTTTTCTTACTTAGTGGTCGTGGTATACTTGCAATGGTAGTGATGATTGTCATTTTGATTTCTTCATTTCCAATTCTTTCGTTCATATGGGGTACGTTTTTTGCATTCAACAAAAGCTGATTTTCTGTGATTTCACTTAATCTGCAGGCAATGTGATTCTCAATTTTTTGAAGTCGCAATACTGCACAATTACAGTCCAGTGCTTGTGTAAACACTTGTCTGTGATTGTGTAATATTTCCCCGACCATCTTTGATTTTTTAAACATCACACGCATTCGAGCTATCAAAGCGTTTGCCAAATTGTTATTACTTACGTTTTCTAAGATAGACCCTGTTGTTGTATTTCTCATTTTCTTCAGATTAATGCATGCATCAAATAAAATTTTAAATATCAGCCTTCTCTTGATATTGACTGCAAACTTCTTCTTTGAAATTCGTGTAAAGATGCCTTTAATTGTTCCTCTTTGCTTCTTTCCGGTAATCGATCCCACCTTTGACAGAAAAATCAGTATATCATCTAATGATAATTACACAGTTTCCTCCGTCTCCATGGTGCCCTCAAGCAGTTAATCAGAAATATTTCCATGTTTGTTTGTTTTCGGTCCCGTATGCACTAGTTGGATCACATAGAAGATACATTTATTTTCGATTCGTTTTCTGCATTTTTTTAGCTGGAACTTTGTTTTGTCAATTTTCACAATTGTTGATCCGAATGTTCGTTTAATTACTTTCCATTTTTCATTCCATAGTTTTCTAGTTGTGCAGTAAACCATTGCTTTCGGTTGAAGTATTGATGTTAACTTCGTAGTGTAATCCGATCGAACCGATTTAAACAAAACAGGTATATTCTGATTCACCTCACTGTTTTCATTCTTCTTTCGCTTTCTCCTTCTTCGTCTTCAGTTTTTTCGAGTCTTTCTGCCTTTTCCCCTTCTATTCAAGAATGAATTCAGTCGTCTAATCATTGTTGCTTCCATCCCTATCACCTCTGATCTCACTCCCGTCCAAATGGGTATCAGAACATATTTCTCCCAGCCAAATTTGTGCAGCCAACTATATAGTTTCCGCTGTGCTCCTCTATTTGGATTCTTGGCCAAGTTTATGTGTTCAGTCCATCTCTTGTCGGGCTGTCTTTTTGTCCTCCCCACGTATATATGTCTACACCAGGGTGAAACTCCCTGTACTAACTAGTTGCTCAATTTTCGTTGATAGCCTGTGTATCTGCTCCCACTTCTGTGTCGTGGTGAGGTCGCCTGATGCTGAGGTGTCTTCTTCCTTCCCGACAGATCTTCGGCGCTCGAAGATGTGTCGGATGAGTCATACTCATCACTCCTGCTTGATCTTGTACTAAGGCTCTCTTAATCATCCTCACTTGTGTCGCCGTCAGTTGTATTGGACACTCTGATGTTATCTGGATCTGGCATGGTCTGTATTTCAAGATCAGAATCCTGGTTGAAGTCTCGCCTCTTGTAGGCGATCAATCCAGGAATTTGCCTCAATGTCGAGATCGCTTGCGGCTTGTCTTTGTACCTGATGTCATGCATCTTGCATAAGACCTTCCATGTAGTAAAGACGAAGGAGTTGCATGTCCGTCATCGGTTCGACCCCGAAATTAATGCTCCGTTTTGCCTCCGACTTCGCTACCGACACGTTGCGATTAATCTTCGTTCGTCCTCTCTTGGGGTGTGGAGGGATTACGCATCCCAATCTGCTTTTGTTCGGTGTGCTTCTGCTTGGCATGCTTCGGCTCGGAATGTTGCGGCTACCATGTACTGAAGTTGGTAGTCCAACCATTGTCCCCACATATCCGTTCGGATGAACCGAAAATGACACGATCGGAGTGCAGGTACGAGTCGGTTCATTGATCTTCTGCAACGCGCCTTTCACAACCGTGAGATCATACTTTAGTAGTTTCAGGTTGTTGACCCCCTTCTGCACTTCCGATACCATCCTTTCTACTTTATCTTCTGCCTCTGCATTCTTCTGACCGATTGCGCTTGGACCAGCTTGATTCTGTCCCCC